CTGAACCATCTCTTGCTGTAGGGCTGTTTGTGCCTTTTCACTGGGAGTACCCTTTCCCTGAGCTAGTGTCTTCATACATGTACTTTTTATCACATAAAATTTGGTGAGGCGTGAGCAAATTTTCATTCTGAAAATGCAGTTCAGAGAAAAAAAAAGTTTGGGAACTACTGCAGTAGGCCATATGTCATGAAGGACAATCCAGTGGTAGAAAATTAAAGTCTTAAACCAAATGTTGCTTATCTACCTTGTCACTGTATTTGACTTTACATTATCTGTAATGTAATTGGGTGATGGAAATGTTGAGTCTTAGACCAAATGTTCTTTCCTTCTGAAAAATTGCAGCAGGTGCAATAGTGAAAACTTTGTAACTATAACAATCAAGATGAGGATACTAATGCAAACAAATCAATGCATAGAAATGTTACAAGTTGGTTGGTTGGTTGTTTTTGGTTAGTGGCATATCAATCTCTATGAGTTATTTAATACCAAAATTCAAATATTTTGTATGCAATCTTATTTTTTTGAGATAATAATGTTTTTAGTAATTAATACAAGTTTTACTAATTAACCCATAGATGGGAGGAGAAGAAGTGGATTCAAACCCTTTCCCAAAGTTATTTGCACATAAATGATTATAATGGCTCTCCGATTAACAATTCCAAGCCATTATCCATTGCACCACCCGCACATCCAAACTTACAGCACCTGGTATTCCCAAGCAGTCACCCATCTAGGTACAGACCAGGCTCGATATTACTTAACTACAGTAATCATATGGAAACTGGTGTTTGAACTTGATGTGGCGGTAAGCCTACAAATTAGGATATTAATAGATAACTTTATTCCAATTGTTCATCTCTTGCTGTAAAGGACGATGATAATTATATTAATATACTAATCATGATGATAGTCATGATGGTTGGAGAGAGAAAAACAGTATTGATGATAATGATGATGATGACAAGGAGGAGGAAGGGGAAGAGGGGAAGAGGAGGAGGAGGATGTAATTCCAGAGATAAGAGCAGTGATGATAAACACCAATGTGGCATAACTAACTTCAAAGACCAAAAATGATTAATTGGCTTATAAAGCAATTTTATAATGGTAATAATGTAAGAAACCATAATTTGGGGAATAATTTTTCATTGGGCAAAGATAAAGAAAATGTTGCAAAGGCATGATTGTGCCTTAAAACAAGAAGATGGCAGTGGGAGTGAGGCATCTTTTAAAAATCATTCTTGGCATTAAGCACCTCTGGATTAGCTGAAATACTAACCAACAGACATTAAATGGGACAGCCACCTGACTTTATTTCATTACATGTTTTAGCAATCTCTTATCTTTGTCTATTTAGTATAATTAAAATCAAAATTGTTTTTCTTTCTTTCTTTCTTTCCTTCTTTCTTTTTCCTATCTGTATCAATTTACCACCATTAAAATCAAAAGTGTTTGTTTACTTCTTTCTTTCTTTCACTTCAAACTCCTATCCTATTCAGTTAAGAATAATTAAAATCTAGATTCTTTCTTTCTTTGTCTCTTTCTTTTTTTAGCTTCATTCTCTTATTATGTTAAAAATCAAAATTCATTCTTTTTTCCTTCCTTCCTTTAATTGTCTCTTTCTTTAACTTCACTCTCCTATCTTTATTTATTATGCTTAAGATCAAAATTCTTTTTCCTTGTCTTTCTTTTACTTTATTATGATTAAAATCAAAAATTTCTTTCACTTCACTCTCCTTAGTTTATTAGGATTAAAATCAAAAGAATTTTTCTTTCTTTCTTTCTTTCTTTCTTTCTTTCTTTCTTTCTTTCTTTCTTTCACTCTCCTCAGTTTATTATGATTAAAATCAAAATTCTTTCTTTATTTATTTCTTTTCTGTCAAGTGAAAATTAAAATAAAATCAAAATCTTTCAATTTTACTCATTAATCACCACCCACTCTCCTTTCTTTCATGCCTCTCATCTTTTTTATTGTTACCACTTTCTTATTTTAATTGTATTCTAGCTGGTCTACTGGTTTTGAACCAAAACTATCTTCACATTACATTATTTTTATTCAAGACAATTCTCTTCCTTTTTATCTTTTACTCTCTAACAATTCATTTTGTATCTTATCAGCAAATTAAAAATAAAACTCTGAACAACTCAAATTCTCTTTTTATCTGAATATCCATTTTATTTTATAATCCATTTCCTCTTTTCTTGTAATTTGTGGTGAATACAAAATAAAAATAACTCTCTTTTCTCTACTGTTTTCAAAGTTTAACGACCCTATGTGAAAATTTATTTTGACCAATGGAAAAGGGAGCATCTTACAAACTGTAAAAAGTAACAAGCCAATGTGAAATCGTTTTTTGATATAAATAGGCAGAGGAAGTTGAATTAAGATAGAGAGAGAGAAAAAGCTGAAAGAAGCAGGAGGCAGAAAGCCAGAGTTCCACATGTCTGAATAATGCCAGTGTCAAATTACATGCTAATACATTATCAGCCTCTAATAAGAGCAGTGCAATTTCAAAGAACTCTATTGAACTCCAAAGCTAAGTACCTTAAAATATATCTTTTTATTCATGTTGAATACAACTGTATAACATTTTGGAATATTACTTTGTGTCTGATGATTTGATATGAACATTTTCTCTTCTTGACAATTCATTGCAACTACAGACTTTAAATATCTGATTCCTTTTCTTGAAACAAGTTATTAACAACTTCAGATGTGTAAATTTGTAAATAAATTCCTTTCATTAAATATAACATGTGTGTTTCCTCGTCATTTTCCCTCAATACTTAAAATTTTAGGCTCAGCTGAAGATCTCTCTCTCTCTCTCTCTCTCTCTCTCTCTCTCTCAAAACTTCATTAATTTATTATCTGTCTCTCTATTTCTTTCATTCTAATATTCTCCCTTACTTCCACTTGTATCAGTTTATAATTTGAGGAAAAGTTCATGCAAAGCACAAGTAAACTAAGAGTTGAGGGCAATACTGCAGTTGAAACATTAGCATTAATTTAGTTTCTTTATTAATGAGCAAGATTCTACAGGGAGTTTTAATATTAAGCATGTGTATATAGTAGTGCTTGTTATATACTGCATATGGTTGCAAGAGTAACAAAAACAAAAACAACAAAGTATTGTTATTGAGGTGAAAAGAAAAGGGGATAAGGTATGTTAAAATAAAAATTATCTGTATCACAAGAATGTCTCTTTTGTGGTTGAGGGAAGCAAGCTGGAAAATGGTAGAGTGGTTTGCATACAGTCCTGGTGGGAGGCCACTGGTGAACTCTGTGACTGCCTGCTTTGAGTGTCATTATCTCTACCTGTACTTGTTGCAAAATTTAGCCAGTCAGTTGAGTCAGCTCTGTCAACTGAACCAACCACATTTGAATAAAAGTTAACCAAGCATAGCAGAGGTTGTATTCATTTGGATGTGAAAATCCATAGTAGGAGTTTCAGTGGGAATTTGGATTCACAAGCAGCCCTCACATGCATATATACACACTTTTTATGATAGTGCAATCCAATTTGAATTCAGAGGTTCCTTCTTCTAGAGTAGTTGCCACCCAAGGCTGTAAGATCCAATCTGTCCTGCTATTTTACCCATATCTGGGGGAGAAGTAATGGAGCTTTCCCAAGGGTATTACAACATAAGTGAATGTAATGAACTCTACTAGAATTTGAACTCGGCTTTTCGATTCTTCAATCTGAGCTGCTAACTATGGTCCCACCATGCCTCGAAGTGTTATTATCGACAGGAAATGACCCATAAGGTTGATGTGCTGGTAAACAATACCTTACCTTGAATGTCATTAAGCAGTTCCTTTTAATCAGTCAGAGTGGATATATGCATCAGCATTTTTTGTTATGCTTTTTTTATGGTGAGGTTCACCCTGTACAATGCTAGGAGCCACTCAAGATAGAGGGTTACATTAAGAGACAGTTTATACAGATAGAATAGGAAGATAATGATTAACTCATTAGTTGAACAAACTAAGATTGTAGTGATTCGGGAAACATCCTCTTGGGAGTCAGTTCCACAGAGCACTGGTTTGTGGGGAAAAGCTACTCAAATGAAACTTACTTCTCCTTTATGGAATATGGGGGTAATGTGGGTTTGCTACAATCTAAGTGGCATGGCAGATCCTAGCAATGAAGGTTAGAACTGGCAGAATAAGGAATGTAGTTTGTCCAAGTACATTCCATGGAAGTTGTGATAGAACAGTGAGAGGCTTCCTACATCATGTATGTGAGAGAGAAGTTGCAGCAATGTTCATGATTGGCTCTGATGTTTAGATTTTATTTGATATTTTAGGAGATTTGTTTTGTGAGCTGGATGCAATGATTGAAGTCCCTGTGCAGAGAGAGCAGCTTTTTTATTTTGCTCTCGTAGTATTCACATTCAGCCAACGGGTTTTGATGTGGAGTGGATCAGAAAAATATTTAATTTGAAGCATAGTATGATATGCTGATTCCATTTCTTAAGAGACAAGGATTTATCTCTTTATTTTGAGGCTTTGCCATATCTATGTACATTTGGGGAGGATTGACTTCATTTAGAGATATGTCTTAAAATTGGAACAAAAATGCAGGGTAAATTATTTTTGAAATGAATAAATAAACAAAAAAATATTCCCTATTGCAGTTTCATTGTTTACTAAGGAAATTAATCTTGATTTATACAATATTTTGTGAATAGCATTTGTGTTTCTTCAATGAGAATCTCTTTTTGATTGATTCATTCATTATTTTAACCAGCTTATCAACCCTTTTGTAGAAAAAACAGAAAATATTTTTAGATTATAAGAATTTTTTTTTTTTATGAGTTAATAATGGTTTAGCAGTACAGCTCTTACTAATTAACCCATAGCTGGGAGGAGGAGTTGAATTCATACCTTTTCTAAGGGCATCTGTGCTTAAGTAAATATAACAAACCCAATGGGAATTGGAACTCAGCTCTCTGATTAACAATTCTGAGCCACTGTCCATTACACCACCCACCCATCCAAGCTTACAGTACCTGGTATTCCTAAGCTGTCACCCACTAAAGTACTAACCAGGCTTGACATTGCTTAACTTTGGTGATCATACAGGAACTGGTGTTTCAATATAAGTCTGTAATGTTTCCACACACAAACATATGTCTTATTATCATATAAAAGTAGCAATCAATAAAAAATTAATAATTTATTGATTCCCGTCTGAAATAACAGATAAGATGTGTTTTAATCATCGTATTTTGGCTAGTTTGGATTAATTTCCAGTGTGAATCTGGATTTGGAAGGGAAATGCACCCCCCCCCTTGAGGATAAGAATCAACATTCCCATGGCTGTGTGGCTGGTGTAATGGCTAGCATCTAGGAATGAAAACTTGGAGAGCTAAGTTCAAATTCCATTTGGGTTAATTGCATTCACTTATGCACAAATACCTTTCGAAAAGGTATGAATTAATCACCACCCTACAGCTATATTCTTGTATTTGGAAAAATCATTGTTATTCTCAAAAAATTGTTAATACAATTTATACTTGCAAAATAAAAAAGAATTATTCTTACAAGCCAAAATATATTTCAGCTTTAAATAACCCACATGGGGTTGATAAGCCATAAAAATCAAATAACATTAATCAACAACAACAATTATATTAACTTTAACACAAATGCCCTTCGGAATGGTTATGAATCCACCTCTTCTCCTGACAGCTATGGGTTAATTAGTAAGACTTATATCACTAACTCATTATTATTGTCAAAAAGTAAAAACATAAAAAATTCTTCCAATTTAAACATATTTTCTGTTTTAAAATAACCTGAAAAAAGTTGATAAGCCATAGGAAATGAATGAATCAAAAAAAATTAAAATACAGGCATGCTTAGGAAAAGCAGTAATGAATTATTGCCTGCTTATTTTGTTTTAAACAAAAGAATTGAACAAAATTTCCTATAGAGAGGTTAGGGTTAGAGTTAGGGTTTTTTATTTGAGCATGATATTCATTTTGTTATTGTTGTTTATAAAATTTAATTTATTTTTTAGGGTTAGGGATAGGAAATTTTATTCAATTGTTTTGTGTAAAAAAAAAAATTAATAAGATGACGAAAATGCAACTGTTTTAGTAAAATAGCAAAAACCAGCTTTTCTGTTACTAAATGGGTGATAAATCGCCACCGTTTTTCCTTAAGCAGATGATAAATTGTTACTTCTTTCCTAAGCATGCCTGGTAAACAGTAGTCACATCTAATTAATGCTTCAATAATGGAAAATGTTTGATTATCAACAATATAAATATTTACTAAGTATTGTGATGTGGGGTCTGACAAGACACAACACTTAACAGAGTCAATCATGATAGTAGTATTCAATACTTGTCTAAACAAGTTATTGCAATAGTATTTTCTTCTTCCTAGACAATTACCCAGGACTACTTATTATGAATAGATCAGTCCATTCATGATAGTAAGGAGAGTAGCTGGTTCTTACCACAACACTAAGCTTTGAAAATACTTGGCAGAAAGCCACAAATATCTGGCACAAGACCACTAGAGTCACAGTTTAGATCAAACACTACATAGAAGTAACTGTGTTATGCTGACTCATTAACCATTAGATCAAAGCAAATCACTCTGATTATCAGTAGGGATGCAAAAGCAATTATCTCCCTTTGGTTGAGATGAAGTCATGAGGGTCATGTGATGATCTGCAAGTAGCATCTGTTCATAGACTGTCAAGAGTCAACTGCTTTTTATCTTACTTGGAGACAAGACATGTCAGCCCACACCAGTTGCTGTATAGGCTGTGAAGAAAACAGATATAACGCTCACAGAAGTAGGCTAAAGAGAGAAAACCACATGGTCTGCTAGGTATATAGAAGACATCACTGACTTATCATTTTACCAAGTGAGAAATATTACAAGTAAGACCCTCTCACTTTTTTCCTTTTCACACTGCTTGTTGTATACATATATTATAGTTTCTCTGTATGGGAAAAATTTATAATAAGTATGTATGTATTGGTATAAAAAAATCTCTTTGATATCCTTGTATGTTTGTCTTTCCTTCCTTTCAGCTGTTTTGCTCCTTCTGTGTATTGCAGATATATAAATGCCTATAATGGAGAAATGCAAGTGGGAAATATTCCCATTTGCCTAGCATCTCAATTACAGCAATATAATTCATTTAATGAAATCCATGTTCTAAAATGATTAACACTCAAATTCTATAAAAAGTGATCACCACTTGAAATCAGAAGGGTTAAATTAAGTGATCAGTTTAATATTTAAATAACAGCTGATCTCCTATATTGTATAGAGAAAATAATTTATAAAACTGGGTCTTCAGTTTAGAATAATATAAGGTTAAAAAAAGAAAAGAAAAGCAGACTTCCCATCGAATTCAGTTTATTCAGAAAAGTAACAAAGACAAGGTTAACAATTGGGACGAACTAGTTAATGATTCAATCAAGAGGCATAACAATAAAGATCTATTTATAGGAAAGTCAGGGAGCAAATTTTACTCTGTGCTATTGTCTTTGTTTTAATTCAAATATCAGTTCATTCTGGTCAAAACTATTCATATATAGAGAATTAGAACTCTACTCATTTGTTGAATATTTCAAGAGCAAACTTCCTGAAATAGTTGCTCCAAAATGTCTGTTTTGACATCAAAAGGATTTCTCTTTCATGACTAACTGATAAGCCATATCCTTAAAAGACCAAACAGGCAGCTTCAAAGTGATAGGCTTTATTTTGTACTTGTGGCAATTATTAAAGAGATAAAAATCTACATGTATCATTCAGTATTAGATCTAATTTTTCATCTATTGTCCATCAGAAGAAATCAGTCTTAGTGGTTATGGTATTCCAGAAATTGTAAAAGCTATTTGACAGAAACAGACTGTATTGCAATACACGATAACAACAAATAGAAAGTCTCTTTCATTTATAAATTAAACTTTATCATAAGTATGTAGGTATAAAGAAAACTTAGTAAACACAGTACACACACACACACACACACACACACACACACACACACACACACACACACACACACACATATGTACAAAGTTTGCCCCCAAAATGTATACACACTTCAGGATAGGAAAAATTTTTTATAGATATTGTAATACTAAATTTATTAAGATATTACAAGATTAATACAAGTTACCTTTGGACTCTACAATCACAAGAGATGTTCAAAATAGTGGCCTTTAGCTTCCAGATTTATTAGTACTGCAAACTACCATTTGGGCAACATTGGCCAACGTGTCCAGTGGGATTGCTGCATATGTATTTTCAATTTCTTGCCCCAATATAATGCCATCTGTCAAGAAAGTATTGTAGTACAGTAAACAATGTTATTGCAATTTGATAAAACAACAAAAGACAAGTTTTTTCTTTCCTGAAGTGTGTATACATTTTTTTGGCAGATTGTGTGTATATATATATATATATATATATATATATATATATATATATATATATATATATATATAAAATAGGCCTGTGAAAGAAATTTGAGAGATAAAAAAACAACAAAAATAATAATATTGATAATAAAACTCATAATATTTATTATATCCTTGCTTAAAAGAGGCCCTATCGAATGTCATTTAAGCTAGCTCTTGTCGAGGGTTCTTGATTGGGCCTTCATCAGAATGCGATAGGCAACAATAAAGTATAAAAGAACTCAAAATTGTTCACTGCATTTAAGTAATGCATTAATATTTAAGCTTACCTTTTAAAAGTTCAATGATAATTTTTCTGCTGCCACTTAATTTAAAGTCAATTTTGTGTATGTAGGTCCTTACTTTCCGTACAAACAATTATTTTTATTTCATGAATGACTCTCACTGGATTTCGCAATTATTTTCAATTATTCCCAAATTCACATCCAAGTTATAAAAACTATTATCATACAAAAGAATTTGTCACAAAAAATCTCAGAAAATAATCACAGTGATCATCCCTGTATTCTTTGAGTATGCCTAGGTCTACTCAAAGAATACCATTTCCACAGAAAGCCTTCTGTAAACCCTCTATGATCAGTGTCAGGAAGCAGCAATTTGGTTCTAGGAAAAGTGCCCAATTAATTTAATGCAACACAAAAGAACTGAACCATATGTAAATAAACCTGTTATTTTTAAATGGATAATCTGCTAGTTACTTATTAATATGTTTGTGTATATAAGTTAGGTACTGTATTATATGAGTGTCAGGATTAACAGTGAATATTCATTTCTGAAAGAACAGTATCAATTTTGTGAAGCAAAGTTTGGTCGACAACATACTACAGTCACACTGAAGTATATGACACTGTAATTCTAACTAAATTGTAGTGACATTTAAATTTTTGCTGAGAGATTGAAAATATTTGACATGTATTTCTATGGTAAGAATGAGAGGTAAGATTAATTAAAATTGATTAATTAAGAAAGAATGACATGACTTAATTATTTCCATGGTTAACTTTATTTTAAAAACTTCCCAACTCAAAAGATAGTAAACAAAAAACCACTGCAAATTACTACAAAACCAAAACATTAGCCTAAAAACTTGTCAGATTTGACTTTCATGTAGATGTCATGCATAGCACCAACCAAATGTCTAAACTGTTATCTGTATACAACTGCTTTATAAAAATTTTATTCCCTACCAAATCCAAGTTCTTGTGTCAGACATAAAAATTAGTTTAGTACGAATAATAAAACATAATTGGTATTTACTTGATTCCCACAAAATCAAGATGTGACACAAGGTCGTTTATTAATTAATAAAACATAATAGGCACAAAATTACAAAACATGACAATCACTGCATACAATTTCAAAAGGAAAAACATTTATTTGCACAATTGCAAAAAAGGTACAAGGGTTTGCACAAAAATTTCCTTTTGTGTACCTATTAAGGCAAGATAACAATTTCAGATAGAAAGGATTACCATTAAAAAATGGAAAAAAATTACAGTTTGGGAAAAGACAAGGATTTTGAAAATGACAAAAAGAGAAAACAATACAAGAAAGCAGTCAAAAACAAAGCTGCAACTATCTTTGAGAAAAAATGAAAAGACCTACTTTGACTTGCCCCATGAGCATCTTTAGGACACAGTAATTTTT